CACTAAAATATAAGTCAGTATCAGTAAATTTGAGGGAGTCTTTCTAGGTTTTTGTATGTTCGATGTATTATTGGGATTGACATTTTTTGGTGGTTTTTACGATTGGTTGTGTCTGCTGAACTTACAGGTTGTCCAATATGTGCGGGCAATTCGAAAGGGACTTATAAAATTTGACGAGAAGCCAAAGGAAGAGCCAAGTGCCTACCTCTTATGGGGAGATGATTCCAGTGCAATAGATAGACAAGGGTTGGCATATATTCCTGCTCCAAAACCAAAACTGCCTGGTTTGCAACCTGACCATCCTTTCTAGATGATAATTTTGTATATTATCTTTCCTGTTTACCCTTTTTGCATAAAGTATACTATCCATACCTAACACCTTCCAATTTTCAGGTCACGAGGAGTCTTATAACCCTTCTTTAGAATATATTCCTACACAAGAAGAGATCAATTCTTATCAGCTTATGTTTGAGGAAGACCGACCAAAGTTTATCCCGAAACGGTATTAGTGCCTATTTGATTGTTTTATAGTGTGCTCTGTACAGCTGTTATATTTTAACGTCTTAATGCTAACCTTGTCACTGCTTTAGGTTCACATCGTTGAGAAATGTTCCAGCATACGAGAAAGCAGTCAATGAAAATTTTGGCCGCTGTTTGGATCTTTATTTATGTCCAAGGGCTCGGAAAAAACGTGTACGTTAAGGATTTGGCCCCTTCTCCCTTCATTTCATCTGCCTATTGTTTATGGGGCTCAGATCATAATCTGATATCTTTCGCAATAAATCTCTATTTTTGTGCAGATTAATATTGATCCCGAGTCTTTGAAGCCCAAGTTGCCAAGTCGCAAGGATCTCAGACCTTATCCAACGTCGTGTTATCTCGAGTATAAAGGTCATAAAGGTCCCGTTGTGTCGATTTCTACAGAATCTACTGGGCAGTGGATTGCTTCTGGTATGATCTTTTGTCCTGGAGATGTTATGCTTCTTTGTTGGATAAATGCTATGAGATTGAAGTGCTTAGATACTTTTGACTCGTCCATGTGAAGGTTCAAGTGATGGAACGGTGCGCATTTGGGAGGTTGAAACTGGAAGGTGTATCAGGATCTGGGAGCTTGGGGAATCTGTAAGTCATGTCTCCTGGAATCCTTTGCCTGAACGTCCCATATTGGCAGTCTGCATGTAAGTGATTAACTGGAGCATATGATAATTGTTATCATATTGGTTGGATCTTAAACCACTACCACATAAATGTTGTAGGGGAGAAGATGTATATCTTTTGAATACTGGACTTGGCAATGCAGAAGAACAGAAGAGTCTTGAAGAGCTTTTGCGTGTTGAAACTCCATCAACCCCTGATGACTCTGGTCAGTTTCATTTGAACACTCCGCAATTTGTGTAAGTTATTACTCATTATGTTGCCTAACTCTAGTTATTTTGCTTAGATAATGATAAAACCGCTGTGAATTGGGTTCAAGATGATAAGCACGGGGGAATCAGGTTGAAGCACTTTAAGGTACCTTTCATGCTTCCCATTGATACTTTGTGATGACTCAGGTAATATCACTATGAAATCTCTCCTGTGTAACTCAAATGTTTGTCATTGGATTGTGCAGACTGTTTCTTCAGTTGAGTGGCATCGGAAGGGCGACTATTTCTCAACGCTTATGCCATCTGATATCCTTCATCTGATTTACATTATTGGCCTGATCTTTCAACATGAGTGCCTGCTTCTCATCCCCTGCCTATGTTTTTATGTTTTATAGTGTCTGTTAAAGGCTTATACATTTTAGGGATAATTACAGCCCTAAACACTTTGGCCAACTAGTTTACAAAGTATGTGCAAAATATATAGGCTGTGCATGCTTATACTAAATATATATAGATACTATACATACCTATACATATAATATACATAATCAGTATATAGGTTGTGTATATTTCGGCCATATTGGTAAATAAGTATTGGCGAACTGTACACATTTGTAAGTTACCTTACATTTTATAGTCGTGTGATGTGATAAATAAAGCATATATGGTTGGTTCTGTATTAATTCTGTATGATCTAGTAGTGGTACCGACGTGCATCTGTTGGTGAAAATGCTTTGGCAAACTGTCCTTAGCATATCCTGTAAGGGCCGTCTTCTTTCGTTTTTTAGAAGTAAACCGTTCTGTTTGTTTGAAAGAGAAGATACATGGACACAGAAAGATCAGGCGGGAGGGTGTTTGTGCGTGTTTCTTGCCTCATTATTGTGAAACTCTTGAGACTGCTTAGTTGATTGTTGTTATTTCTTGACTCTTATCCACCCCAATCAAAAGCAGTTCTGATTCACCTGCTCTCAAAGAAACAGACTCAGAGAATACCATTCAAGCTTCATGGACTTCCAGTTTCAACAGCTTTCCATCCCTCTCGCTCTGCCTTCTTTATTTCAACAAAGAAAAATATTCGTGTTTATGATCTCTTGAAGCAAAAGCTCATTAAGAAGCTAGAGACAGGGGTTCGCGAAGTCTCGTCTATTGCTATTCATCCTGGTGGTATGTCTTGGATTCTCTTTGATGATGTTGTCTGCTAGTCTCTATACTCAACTGGTTAAAATGCTTTTAAAATTTTTTGTGCAGGTGACAATCTTATTGTAGGGAGCAAAGACGGGAAACTGTGCTGGTTTGACATGGACCTTTCATCTCAACCTTACAGAGTTCTCAAGTATGCTCTTTAAATTGATTTTTGTAATTTTGAAAAGTTTTTCTCCGCGTGTCTTGTGTTGTTTTTATGAATTCAGTCTGGTGACTTAATGGTTACGCCTATTGTGGATTTAAGTCTTGTACTGAAACATGTCAGATTGTGCACACATTTTTGCATTTATGCTACTTGATGTGTGCTTGCGTGTGCTTGTTTGACATTCCTTTTATCTTAACCTCAAGGAGTTCTCAAACTTGTAATTGGCTTGTCTTTTCCAAAAGCTTTTTTTGGATGTGTCTTGTGTTGCTTTTATGAATCCAGTCTAGTGAATTGATGTTTGTGCCAGTTTTGGATTTGAGTCTTGTGCTGATACATGTTAAGTTGTGCACTTAAGTTCTCGTGCTCATGCTATCTTAATTTGATTTGCTTATTGGAAGGATCTTGTTTGAGATAAGTTGCAGGCATTAGATGTCTTATATTGAAAATATCCACTAGTTCTTCTCTACAAATGTGATTGGTTAGTCTATTCATTCTTTGCTCAACTTGGTCCACAAATGCGCTTATTTGGAGGTTTTTCCATGTTACAGTTGCCATCCGAAGGACATCAACAGAGTGGCCTTTCATCGCTCCTATCCTTTGTTTGCTTCATCTTCTGACGATTGTACGGCATACGTTTTCCATGGCATGGTTTATTCAGATCTAAACCAGAATCCATTGATTGTACCTCTGGAGATTCTTCGTGGTCATGCCAGTGAAAATGGAAGAGGTATGGCCTTACCCTGTCTTTTCAGCATATAATGATTCTACTCCAGTACCCACTTGCCATCCTGTCCTACACTGGAGGAAAGAAATGTTAATCTGATGAAGCTGCAGCAATTAGTGTTGTATAGTTTCACTTACTCTCAAATACATTTTGATACAATATGTTTGTCAATACATTATTGTATTACGAACCTGTCTGGTTGGACCTTTTGAGGTCAAATTTTCCGCGTTAAGACAATAAAAGCATCTAGAGGAATACTTAATGTTGCTATAGAAAAAGACAGCTGACAAGATTGATGGTACAAACTCAATCATGGCCGTCCTGGTATTTTGGAGGACATACGCCAGAGGGCTAGATTCACTTGAGTTGATGGGTCGAGATCTAAATTTAAGGATCCCCTAGGTGTTTTGCAAGTTCTTAAACTAATCTGTGAAGCAAATTTCAATATTATTTGTAAATTGAGGTCAAATAAAAACTATACTAGTTTGGTCTTGAGTCTTTATTTTATGTGCAATGTGTCATGCTACCACTTTGTTGACATTTCTTGATTGCCACTGTCTTCAGGTGTCATGGACTGCAAGTTCCATCCTAGGCAACCATGGTTGTTTACTGCAGGAGCAGACTCTGTGATCAAGCTCTACTGTCACTAAGAAGATTACTCCAAAATGCATCTATGCTACTGATTGTCGTGTGCATTTGTTTATCTGAAAGAGGAAGACAGTACATTGCACTGTATACATTGCTGTGGGGAAATTTTGGAAGTTGCCTGCTTGGACAAAGGGAGGATCACTTGTTCTTTCTCACAGGCAAACAATGAATTCCACATATAGATAGAGAAGTTGGCACTGTTCCTTTGTATGATCAAGACGATCACCTCTCGTGTATGGGAGTGTTCGATGCAATTCACCCAAAGCGGGTTTTTTTTTACGAGAGGAGAACTCTCCCCAAGTTATTCTCATGTCAGCATTTTCTGTAGTGCTAGAGCTAGGGGCATATGGGCGAAGTACTTGGCACACTGGAGCTCTCCATTATTTTTTTTACCATAAACTGAGTTATCATATTTTTGTAATATTGTTATATTTATGCATGAAAGAAATGGCAAGGATCTTTGGCACTATTAGCAATATAACAGTGGGATTTTGAAGAAACTATCTCTGCTGTTCTTGGTCTATTGGAATTAGTTTTTATTATCTGATGCAGTCATATATTGTTTGACTAGAATATTGAACTCTTTTTCACAGTTGAACATACCATAAATTAGTGCTCGTATTGTGATTGATCTCTTGGTAATTACATTTTCCTTACATATCACCTCGCAGATTTCCTTATCGAGCGCTGCTATAATGTGCAACGACCCCTTAATAATTTTTGCAGCTCTACTACGTACAATAATCGTTATGATTCCAGAGTATCTATTTGCTCATAATGGAGCGTTCTTATCTGAAAAATTCCTTTTAGTCAATTCAATCCGCATCTTAGTACTGGATTTCATAAGTAAAGTGGTTTAAGAGTTTTACTAACAACAAGAAGCTTGTTGCAAAAAGACTGCAGGCCCTCTCCATAAACAAATGATTTGTAGATATAAATCAAACGTTCTAATTTCAAACTATCAGATAAAATTCGTGTGCAAACACCTATTAAGAATCAAACATGGACCGCATACAAGTTTCTTGTTTGGGCCAACAGCATCTTATAAATAGGGGTTATTATTTGGGCTCACAACCATCGGTCTGGTCTGCGTCTAAACTCTCAGCGTCGAATTTTCTGGTACTCATCACTGTTAAGTCTTCTCTCGCATCTGAACTCACATAACAGGGTCATCTCCATCAACACAAACTGGGTATTGCAAATCCCTTTCCAGGGTGTGCCTATTCAAATAATACAATATAGAACATAAAGACTGAAATTAGATGCAGAGCAACTGTACAAAGTAGCGTGTACTGTTTCCTTTGCTGGTACATAGGTAATGTATGAAGGCGTCACGCAAACTGAGCCAATCATGCTCCTCTTTCCTTTGCTTATTCGCCCACATTCTACTGCAAGAGTTGAACTGCTGCTATTGATGGTATCTTTTCCCTCAGTTTCTGAGTTACAGCCACACGAACGGTCATTACACCAGCTGCAGGACCTGTGATTCGGACTTTAACTATTGGCTCCTCAATTGCCACAAGTTCTAAACTTCCACCAGCTGCCCCAACAAGATATGGCCGTATCTCTTCAAGAACCTAAAATAGTTGCAACAGAAAAATAGAGTAAGAAGATTTGCGGGAAGAAACAGAGATTATTGAGCACACATTTATTTAATCTAGTCAGAGGCTCAGAGTTAGCGACAATTTGATCAATAGGTATAGCTGTTGAAGTGCTGAAGTCTAAGATCACATTGTGAACATGCCGATGCCATAGATACTTCTTGTTTTTCACAGACAAGACAAACAAGCATTAGTTATGACAGAGTAGTTTCTATCTTCGACTGCAACAACATCTAGGTGCACATATTAAGCAAATCATACAGTACCAGTGAAGCACATATTGCTCTTTCAACTCCATTATTTCTTTTTAATAAATAATCTTAGATTTATAAATACTTGCACTAAGCCAGTGCGATAAATCATAATTACAGATCGTGCAGATCCCTTATATCTAAAATTGCATCAATGTTATGTGCAATAACTAGCCCCCAAGGCCTAGCTCGAGTGGCAAAAGGTCGAGGATTTGTGGCTTAGGTCGCAGGTTCAAGCCCCACACCATGCAAAGCG